TCTGCTTCCAAGGAACGCCTTGGCCAGAACCGCCTTGGCCAGCTACATCTTGTCCCTGGCCAGAGGCACCACTTTGTCCTCGGATTGGCAGACGCTCAAGACCTTTGGGGAAAGAAAAGGGAACAGGTATCTGATGCATTGGAGTAAACTTTACGTCACCTTCTTGACCCCGCCTGGGAATGCAACGCCCGCAGAGCCACTCCCAGTAGCACCACTGAAGTCTGGCAAATCATCCGAACGTTGGCCAAAGTCCCTCAATGTCAAACCAAGCAGCAACAGCAGCAGCAGCAGCAAGAGGAGCAGCAGCAACAGCAGCAGCAGCAGCAAGAGGAGCAGCAGCAACAGCAGCAACAGCAGCAGCAACAGCAGCAGCAGCAACAGCAGCGCGGGCAGCAACAGCAGCAGCAGCAGCAACAGCCGCAGCAGCAGCAACCAAGCAGCAGCAACCAAGCAGCAGCAACAGCAGCGTGGGCAGCAACAGCCGCAGCAGCAGCAACAGCAGCGTGGGCAGCAACAGCCGCAGCAGCAGCAACAGAAGCAGCAACAGCAGCAGCAGCGCTGGCAGCAAACTCTAGCTTTCTGGATCTAATTCAGCTGGCAGAAACAGCAGCAAAAGCAGGAGCAGCAGCAAGAGGAGCAGCAGCAACAGCAGCAGCAGCAGCAACAGCAGCAGCGGCAACACCAGCAGCAACAGCAGCAGCAGCAGCAGCAACAGCAGCGCGGGCAGCAACAGCAGCAGAAGCAGCAACAGCCGCAGCAGCAGCAACAGCAGCAGCAACAGCAGCTGCTACCAAGCAGCAGCAGCAGCAACAGCAGCAGCAACAGCAGCAGCAACAGCAGCAGCAGCGCTGGCAGCAAACTCTTGTTTTCTGGATCCAATTCAGCTGGCCCAAACAAAGGTTTCAGAAATGCTCAGCATCCGCTGTAATTAGCAGCGATACGGCGATACCGCCATGTTCGTCTTTGTGGTTACCGCAAATGACTTCTCAGCCGGCCTTCTTCTGGTGGCGGCCCAATGGCAAGACCTGACCGTCTGTGCCGAAGGGGATCACATGGTCGACCATGTCCAACTCTGGTCTACCGAACTGGAGATATCTGGGATGCAGCAATCTGCGGTGAGCAAAAGGAAAGCGAACAGGGGAAGAGGCGTGTCGTTACATGTCGTTTATTAACTCAAGGACGAAAACTCATACGCAAAATCATATCATCTTGCATTTCGTCAGCATACAAAGTGCTCTTCAACCGCCTGCACCATCCCCAAGTCGGCACCCGTCTTTGCATTTCGCCTCGCTCAACATTGGAGCCGCATCATTTTGTGGAGATGTTTCGCTAGCCTTGTGAGTGTTGTTGTAGAACCAAGAGGAAGGTTGGCAGCTGTGTGTGTGTATGTGTCCCAGGATATCCCAAGTCATTTCTGTTGAAGGTTCCTTGCTGCAAAAAAGAACACAAAGAACACAATATCTGAGCTTGCTAAGCAAATCCTCTCACAGCACCTGATCACAGCACGCTTCCGGACGCCTGCCTTGTCGTCAGTACCAATTGCATTAACTTTCATGGCATCATCTTCGCCCGACTGCCAGGCAGAAGCGCGACAGAGCACGATAACAGCAAGCAAAACAAAATCAAAGCAACACACTTTCTTCACGGAAACTCTCGGAAGGGTCTTCTATTCGGTTGTTACATACATGACTCAAGCTGCACATGTTTTTGTGTCATGTTTAGTTCTGGACTACTTGAGGCTACCTTCAAAACACACGATATAGAATTATATAGATGTGTAATAAATATCTGGTTGATTGATTGCATTGTGCACTGTGTCAAGTCATCGACTTTCTCGGCGATCCGATATATACATGGCGGGATAGGGTTCGATGCTGCCGACATACGAAGATCTCAGAGAAACCTTTTTTCAGCCCGTGGCCTTACTACTAGGAACAAGAAGCTACAAGGGGGCTCCTGGCCTTACTACTAGTAACAAGAAGCTACTAGGGGAGTAAATTCAGGGCGACTAGTTCGCTCCCGCTCCCAGTACGGATAGCTCGCTCGGTTCGTAGCGATGCCCTTTGCTCCTAGTAGCTTCTTGCTCCTAGTAGTACTGCCAGGAGCCCCGTTCGTAGCGTCCTTGCTCCTAGTAGCGATTTGGTTCCTAGATTTTTAGGGAAACTTACTACGGCTGGCCGAACGTGCTTGTGTCCGGCTGAACAAAAGCAACATGCACCGCAAGCGGAGCGGCGTGGAAGAGAAACTTGACCCGCCAACAATAAAGTCACAAGTATCCCTCATTGCTTTCTGAATGGCCAAGAGAACCGTAGAGCTTATTCTTACTTGCATAATCACGTCTTCCTTCCACTTCCGATTTAAAGATGGCAACCCCAGAAGCAAACAGTCCAAGTAAAAGGAAGTTACTGGCTGCGTGGTTGTACATGTCATGTCCGGATACAGTGGACCAACGGGATCAATGGGATCTAGATGCGAGGCTCCCAAAAGTCTCTGCTAGTACCACCATGCAAGGGGGTTGAGTCGATTGGTATTCACGATGGTCGCATTGACTCTTGCCGTTGTTCAATGCTCCTTTCCTTTCTTTGTTCTCCAGACCTTGGGAATTGTGTTTTCTTCCCCTCCCTTCAATTCCCTTCCCTTCCCTTCTTGTTCTTCATTCTTTCTTTATATTTCTTTTAATGTACCCAGAAGTCAAAAAGATCCCAAGAGCGCAAAAAGCTGCATGCAGGCTTTTTCGAATGCGCTTTGGTTGATGCTGGGGTCCTCCCCCAGACCCTGTATCATTTAGTCTGTTTCAAACTGCCCTGGACTTCGCCAGGGGGACAAGGGTGTGTCAGGCAGTAGGATTCGCCCGTCGCTGCCAAAACACCCGAATGTCCCCTGGTCTCCCAGGGCCAACAGGCACCTGTCGAGGTGCCAGGGGACAGGGTCGGGAGGACAGCCCACCGGATCCGGTCACGGGATCTTGGGTGGGCAACTAGGAAAAACCCGTTGCGGACAAAAGTTTTGTAGCAAAAGGAAAATGAAGAGAGTCTCCGGTGCCGGTAGCCGGCGATCTAAGGAGAATCCTTCAAAGTCCGGATGAGTCAATTCATCCGCCCAGGTGTTGTACTCCCTGGGGATGTGATTGGGAGCAATGCTACAGCCCTCACAATGAAGGAAGAGAACCAATTCCATTAGCAGCGCCGCCGAGTAAGGTTTCTTGGCCGAGAGGTTGAGCAGGCTGAAGATGTTGCCTGAGTTGTCACTGCCCACCGGGAGACGAACTCTTCCCGGCAGCTGGCCCTGTTGGGCCAGCAGGTGCTTGCAAAGAAGTAGCGTGCCCAGGAGTTCCAGGGCAGCAATGCGTTTCTGAGGGTTGCCATCCTTGAGTGCCCACGGATGGGCGTCTGCTGTAATGGCATAGTGGAACCATAGGACCTTGTCCTTGGTGGGGTTCGGGGAGGCCGAGCACCAGCCCCCAACATAGGCTTCGCCTGTCTTTGATGCACTAGCATCACTGCATCCCCACCAAGGCGACTTTGGCAGGAAGGGTGAGTACTGCTCAAAGGGGTGCGTGAAGAGCTCCTTCAGGAGGGCAGCCAACATGCGGACCACCTTGGGTGGATGGCCCATCGTTCTGGCCCATGGCCTTCTCAATGGCCTTGGCTGACATGGGGGATCCATTGGCAAGCTCCTCCAGGAGCTCCATGACCTTGATGCGCTTGGGGGCCGCCATCTGGACTCGAGGTATGGTTGGGTGGATCACGAACCCAAGCCAGGTGTTGATCTCTGCCAAGTGAGTCTTCTTCCAGATAAGGGGCGTTCCCAAAGCCACCAGTGTGCCCAATAGCGCCGCGGTGAATTGGCAGGCGAAGGAGCCAGCACAAATCGTCGACGAAGACAAAGCCCCAGTCGATCTGTGGGAAAAGGTAATAGAGGATCCGCAGGAGCAAGGCCGCCATTCTGCCCCAGTAGAGCTGCGCACTTGCCACGCCGTAGGTGCCCACTTTGTTGACCCACCATTCGTTGTCCAACTGTGCTACCTGGAATCGCCAGTCCTGGGGCAGGACCTTGATTCGTCGGTGGGCCTTAGTTACATCAGCCTTCAGCAGGATCCATTGGCTGTCCTTAGCGGGCCACTCCCAGGCTGCTGTTGGGTCATCCAGGCCCTCTGCCCGCTCAGGGCCAAAGGCTCCGGCTAGGCCGGGGGCGTGTGCCGGCCTCGGTATGTCTGGCGGCATGGAGCCAATGGATTGCGTGGACGTGGGCGCCGTGGTCCGCTCCTTAGTGTTTTGTTGGATCTTGGCATTTGCTCCTCCAACCGATCTTTCTCTGGAGAAGTCTGCTGCCGATGGGTAATTGTGGTGTCCCTTGGGGTCATCCAGTGGAGCTTCCACTGGGTCTTCTCCCGCAAGCTCACTCTTGAGAGGCCACACTCCCGGTGAAGGGAGGGTGGGATCCGAAACCCCAGAGGAACACCTGTAGCGAGAATCTGAGGGTACTGCCAGTCTGGGTCCCCGGCTGTGTTGGCTAGTTGCGAGATCAGATCCAAGTAGAAGGGTTGCCCGTCTGGTGTAGTGTGTTGGTGGCCGGGGTGAAGGACCTGCCGGATGTCTTCCAGCAGTGGGTCCGGGTATGGGTGTTGTTTGGACCGCGCGTAATCGACCACATGACTTGGTCGAGGATCTTGGCTCCTACGCGGGCCAGTGTGGATGCCCCCGTCCCGTAGTGGTCTGGTCTTGAATGCCACCTGGAGGCGCATCAAGGGATCGTGGAGCGAGAGATCCTCTCTGAGATTGGATCATACTTGGGGCAATCGGACCACGTTGTGCTAGTGTGCCAGGTATCCCCCGCCGTAGATCGGGGGGAGGCCGCGCTAGCCGCGGTGCTGCCTTGGGTAAGGCCTGCGATAGCCCTGGCTGCTTTGCTGGCGCGGGATGGGTTTGTGCCCCGAGCGCCCTCCTCCCTGGACCTTTTGGAAGAAGGGTATTGGTCCGTGTCCCCGGTGTTTGGGTTGGTAGGTTTGGGGGGGACCTGGAGGACCTTGGCGATGGCCTGAGCCAAGCCGAGCATCATCTGGTCCGGGTAACGGCTGAGGTCACTGGATTGAAGGTCCCCCAGGGGTTGGTGCCCAGAGTGGTTGCAGCGGAGATCCTGCCAATGGCGCAATGGGAGGTCAGTCGACAGGGTAGTGGCCTTGACCACCATCTGACCCAGTCTACACTGGTCGAACTTGATGCGGTGGTGGTGCAACTGGTTGGCCCACTTGATGTACGCTCGGGTCACCCACAGTGAGGAGCACTTGTGTGCCTGGGGGCTGGCGCTGACCTCCATGGGGTCTCTGGGGTGTTCCAGAAAAGAGTACCCCACCCGCGGTGGGTGGCATTGGGCGAGGCCTTGATATGCCAGTGATGTTAGGTACATCTGGCGGATCACCAACATGCTGTCGTTGTCCGTGTCGATCTGTTCCTCTGGTCGGCGACCCGCGATGTCTTCCCCATAGAACCACTCATACCATTCATCCAGGGTCTCCGTGGACAGTCGCAGGTGGGCGAACTGTGGCTGGCCCGCAATGCACATCAACAAGGTGGTCCTGAACACCGTGTGCATTCGCTCCAACTGTCGTCGTCCGGTCGGCTCTTCCTCATCTGCCCGGTCCCAGCCATCCACCGACACCTTTCGTGTGGTTTTGACGGGGCGTTCCCCGTCCTCCGGAAGGGCCCCAGCCCCGACAATGTGCTTGGCCTGAATGTAGCCAAGTTCCGGGCCGCAATGTGCTTGAACTGCCGTTTCAGGTATGCATCACTGCCCTGAGACTCCAGGCGGGGTTTCAGGCAGTTGTAGGCCTCAGCATAGGCGGTCTCCAAGACCCGCCGATCGCAGAGGCTGTGCAGAGGGCCCTTGGCCGTGCCTGGGGGTTCCGTGGCCGTCGTGCGGCCAACATGAAGCTGTGTCTGAGCCATTGACTTGGCCGCTCTAACCACCTGCAAAAGGCGCATGGCAGTGAACCGGGAGGAGTTGTTCTCCCCAGCCTGGAACTCCAGGTCCCTGGGCCCTTGGGCCCTTGCCTCCTGCGGGGTGTTCCACCGGTCCCCCAGGTCCTCCACAGTCACATAGCCCTCCTGGGCCAGTTTGGCCTGAACTACCCAGGGGATTTGTTTGGCAACCAGAATGAGAGCCAATGGTTTCGTTAGCAGGTCCAAAAATGGTTGGAGCGCGTCCGGTGCCTCAGTCGGGGGTTTCACAGGTTCCGCTGGAGGGCCGCCGCCAGCTCCCCCTCCGCCACCAGCAGCCCCCGGTGGAGCTGCCATCATGGGCGGGTTGGGTGGGTTTTCTTCCAACCTTCAGGCGCAATCCTGTGGATGATTGCCACCAGCTTGAGCCAAAATGTCCCGGTGGGACATTTTGTGAACTTCAGTGAACATAAAACTTGCATCCGCAAGCTACCTGCAAGTGTGAATATGTACCCAGAAGTCAAAAAGATCCCAAGAGCGCAAAAAGCTGCACGCAGGCTTTTTCGAATGCGCTTTGGTTGATGCTGGGGTCCTCCCCCAGACCCTGTATCATTTAGTCTGTTTCAAACTGCCCTGGACTTCGCCAGTGGGACAAGGGTGTGTCAAGCAGTAGGATTCGCCCAGTCCGGAGGTCTGCCTGGCACACCCGCCATTTCCGCAGGATGCAGGCAGGCTGAGGTGTGTGTCCTGAGTTCTTGCTCCGCCCCGACACCATTCCAGGGCCAAGGGGCACCTGGCCGTGGGTCAGGGCTGAGAGGTAGTTGAAAACAAGGTGGCTCAGATGGATTCAACCAGGAGCACCTTCGGTAGTGGCACGGCATCAGCTTCCGACTGGGTGTCTACGGAGTCATCCGTCTCGGAGCCCGATGTGGCCGAGCGTATCAACCTCAAGGTCGGGGATGTCCTTCCCCTCCACGGTGCCAAGGCGGCTCACAAACCACGATTGGGGGAAGTCACCTTTTGCAAAGCACCGCGTGCCGAGCTGATCACCTGGTAGGAGCAGTCCTGGTCCGCTGGGTCGCCCTCTGGGGGCGGGTCGCTGGCCTGGGCGGAGGAAGTGACCCAAACCATTGTCTTCGCCCTCCACAACATCCCACGAACCAGTGGTGCCCGGGGTAACCTGGTCTGGTTGTGGGGGCGGGGTGTCAGCCATGGAGCGTCGTGTGGACTGAGGCGGCGATCCCGGGGGCCGCTCATCTGCGTCCACCACCTCTGTCACTGGGTCATCCCAGTCCCCATGGTTAACGCGCTGCGGCTGCTGCCACCAGCGCCATCAGGTTATCCTCCGGGACCATGTGAATATCCGGATCATCAGGGTCATATCCCCACACCAGGGGCCTGAAGACGGCTGCGGGTTGGCCCCCAAGTTCCAGGGACTCGTCCGGGTTGCCCACCCGCAAGCACGCCACCGCCAGTAGCTCTCCATCAGTTTGGCGGGGGGGAAAATCCCTCATCCACCAGGGTATCAAAAATGTGGCGGGGCAGCGAACCCCAAGCACGACAATAAGGTGTGCGATTCAGGAAAGCCTCACTAGTAAAATTCATGGCGTCAGAGACCGCCAAAACAGTCCGGCTTCCCCAACGAAGCCTTCAAAGCAGTGGGATGAAAACGAGGGGAAAAAGAGAGGGGGGAGGTGAAAGGGACTCTTAGCCAACTCAAAGTCCTAGTACAAAACAGTCCTCACTCAACAACTCGACATGCATGAAAAATCAAGGTTCCACAGGGCATCACGTTTTGCACAGGCCGCACCATGGCTTCCACCGGGCGTTCCCCCCCCGGCGCAGGGCCAATTGGCACCTGGACCTGGGGAAAGGCACTTACGGCGCCCAGGCCCGGATGTGCAGAGAGCTCAAAATGGGTGCAAAATGGGGTGAGACAAAACGGTCTAGGCCAAGTCACCCACGGCGCCCGCGCTCACTTGGTGGCCCCTCAGGCCGCTGCCGTGACCTTCTGGCCACTTGCTGAATCGCCCGGATGCCCTTCATCTCTTCGTTGCTCAGAATGACCTGCCAGATGGCATCGGACACTGCCCCCAGGTTGTTGCTGGCGCTGAACCGCAGACGATGGTTCATCTTGCCCACCAGTTCCAAGCGCTCATCTCGGGGGCAGCGCAAGGCTCCGCCCGCTTGTAGAACTCCATGCGCTCTTTGATCCACTTGTTGTAGAGGGCCTCAGGTGGCTCGTCCAGCGCCAGCTGGAGGGAGGCCAGGGATCCCCGGTGCTCGCCGGTGATCTGCAGGAAACGGCTGCCTCCCCTGGAGGCCTTCCAACGGTGGCTCCCTTCTCCTTGGTGACAACCTCCCAGGCCGAGATGCTGGCAGGATCAAGCCGCACTCGGCCTCGCCCCAAAAGAAGTGCCGGTCCTTGTGGGCGCCCGGGTAGTGCTTCTTGCGCCAGTCCTTGCCCACAATGGAAGTGACGTTGCTGGCTGTGAGGCGCGGGTAGCGAGGAGCCACATTGGCTCTCGCTGCCAAGGTCCATCTGCTGGATGCCCACATCCATGTTGTTTGCCACCCGCTCCCTCGGATTGTCGCCCTGGATGGGGGCAGAGCCCCCCTCAGGGCGCGAGGCACCTGGGGGTGGGGTGCGTCCCAATGACAGAATGGTCTCATGGGAGTAGTGCAGCTTGGCGTATAGAGGGCGTAGGCCTCCGAAGCCGGGACCTCAGCCGCCCAGGTGTGGGTGACATTGCAGCGCCTGTTGACCTTCACATCTACCATGGCCGACTGCGGGAGCTGGCCCACCAATTTCGAGTGCACCTCCGGGAACTGCTTCAAGGCGTCCAGCGGGATGGTGATCCGCTCATCGCAGATTGCCCTGAAGCGCATGGCCTCTTTGCTGTCGTGCGCCGGGGCCACCGGCATCTCCATCACTGGCGCGGGGCAGTTGGTCAAGAAGACCTTGGTTGCCAGGAAGGTGCCCATTTCGCGGAGCACCGTGCGCCATTCGTCCTTCTCCGCCGGCTTGTCCAGGCCCAAGGCAGCAAGAAATGAACTGGCCTCCTTGCGGGCCTGGCGGATCCCGGAGCATCTTTGCCGCGCTGCTTGGCTTCGATGGCCAAGGGGAGGCTGCACCACAGGCTGTAGTACTTGAAGGTGCACCGCATCGAGTAGATGTGGATCAGGGACTTCAGGTCCCATGTGCGGCTCTCCCTTCGCCACTTCTCGTCCTTGGCGGTGTCATGGGCCCACCAAATCGAGAGGATGGACCCCAGTGGCGGCCGAGTCCCTTCCTGCCGCTGTGCTTCCACGTCCTGATCTGTGTAGTGGAAGGGCTCCACCATGTCCGAGCCGAAGGAGCTCGGGTGGGTCCGTCTCTCCAGTGCCCGGTCGCGGTCCACCTCCTTGGTTGTGAGTGCCCCTGGCTTTGGCTGTGCCCAGTCCGGGAGTGGCGGACTAAACTCAGGCACCCGGCGCCAGACCCCGCCAAACATCCGGAGCTCGCCACGGTGCACCTTCAGAGCCCAAAGCAACATGGCCAGTTTCTTAGCCTCCTCGCCCATCTCGTTGAGAGTTGCCATGCCAGGGCCGGTCACCGCTGGGCCAATGGCACCAGGGTTGGCGCCTCCCCACCAGATGCCGCGGTGGCCACTGTGTGCTTGAGGTCGGGCATCTCCTCCAGCAGTTTGGGATGGTCAGCCCAGGGGTTCTGGCCGTTTTGAAGTGCCCTCATGGTCGGGAGGTAGTGCTGCAACATATCCGAGGGGTCCGGAACCTGGTGCCAGACCAGGGAGGCCGTCGGACAAAAAGGGAGGCCGTCGGGCAAAAGGGGCCCCTCTCCGGCTTCTGTTTGGGGTCGTCCGGCCAGGCCGAGAGCTCCGTGGGGATGAGGGCGAACTTTTCCATAAAGGCAGTGCCCTAGGCTGATCTTGGATCTTTTTGTTCGCCTCTTTGGCCTTCTCCAGGGAGGTGACTGCCGCCTGGAGGGAAGCCTCCGTGCTGCCCGATGCCTCCTCCAGCATCCTCTTCTTCAGGCAGCTTTGAAGTCCATGAGGTTGACCTTCCGTAGGAGGTCTTCCCACCTGGCTGTCTGGGACGGACTGCATGCCCTCCTGGATGGGTGCCAAGACCGTGGACTGTAACTGGGACACCTGGTCCGCCTTCTCCTGCCGCTCTGCCTCCTCCGATTGGGCACGCTCCGCCTTGAGGTCTGCTGATGAGAGGCCCTGAAGGGCCTCCGATTGAATGCGGAGGGCCTTGGCCGCCTCTGGGTGAAAGATCTGGAAGGACTGGGAGGGTTGTTGCTCCTCCAGCCGTCTGCGATGGGCCTCCGTGGTCTCCGCAGCATCGTCCTCGTAGTCCGCCGACAAGATCTCCTGTCGGATGTGGACCCTGCAGACGGAAGGGACCTCATCCGCACTTCCTCGGTGCAAGTGGCCGCCGGGGCCTGGGCATACTGGGTCCCATCAATGGAGTGTGACAGCTTGAAGCGCCTCTCCGCTTCAGGGTCCATACCAGTCGCCGCAGGGCGCCCCTGGACCTGGGGTGGACCGGACGGGAGCAGCTCGTCGCCAGACTGGCCTGCCCGCCTCGTAGAACAGGGTCCAGGTCTCGTCCCCCACCTCCATGATGGACGTAGGTCGCTGGTACTCGACGGCTTGGTCATGCTTGCAGGTCCAGCACCGGGAGGCATTATCAGCCAGGGCGTCATGCATTTGCCGCCCATGGAGTGGAAGGGCATGTCACCTGCAGGTAGGTGGAGGCCTTTCTGGTCAGTCAGGCCGGACTTGTCGGTGGTCTTCTGGTACCGTTGGGTCCAAATCTTCTCCTGCGTGGCCAGAGCCCGCAGGGGGATGTACTGCTCGATGATGCGGGTGACCACCGGTGTGGAAAGAGGGTAGCCTGTGAACTGGTCAAAGAGCTGAGCCATCTCCTTCTCTGTGCACGAGGTGAGGAGCCCCGCCAGGTGGCCCGGAATGGCCGGAAAGGAGTCCGGAACATCACAAACCGGACGTGGTTCTCTGGCTCCCTCACCGATAGAAACCTGATTGGCATGGGGACCGCGCCCAGGGTAGCTGCAGAAGCCCTTGTAAAACCCGGCAAGGTAGGCGTCTTCGACGTGGGCTCTTCCATGGGCTGTGGAGCCGGCCTCTTGCTCGGTCGCGGAGGCTCCGGTGCCTGGGCCTTTGCCGGGGGCGTAGAAGGCAAAGAAGCCGCCGCCATGGCATCTACCGGATCACTAAATACCCTGCCGGTGCAGGGGGCGTGAAACCTAAGCCCGCTCGCTCAGTGATGTCCTCTTCCATCTGGTCGGCAGGTGCCGCCGGGCGTGGCTCCGCCGCAACAGGCCAGGCCAAAGG